CTCAATTTTGTTTTTTAGGACATCATACCATCATAGTCATCTCACATCCACATCTTCTATCTATGAATACTCCTAATTGCCCATATAGTGATAAAGTTCTAAGAGTTATCACCTTGCCATGTGGAAATATAAACAGTTTAACCTCATTGAATCTCTTTATGTTTTCGCTTTCTTATTTCTCTTTTACCTTTTTATGTTTCTCTTGAGTCTTGCATTTGAAGATAATTTTTTTTTATCATTAAGCTCTGGTCTTTTAATTAGGAATGTTTGAAACTCCTCTATTTCATTAAATAACCATTTTTTTCCCTGATAGAGTATACTCAGTTTTGCTGAGTAAGTGATTCTTGGTTGTAATCCTAACTCCTTTGCATTCCAAAATATTGTATTCCAAGCCTTCTGCTTCTTTCATGTAGAAGATGCTAAATCCTTTGTAATCCTGACTGTGCCTCCACAATATTTGAATTGTTTCTTTTTGTCTGCTTGCAGTATTCTCTCCTTAACCTGGGAGCTTTGGAATTTGGCTGTGATATTCCTTGGAATTTTTATTTAGGGATCTCTTTCAGTGGATCCTTGCCATTTCTGTATTATCCTCTGGTTCCAATATATCAGGGCAGTTTTCCTTGATAATTTTCTTGAAATATGATGTCCAGGCACTTTTTTTGATCCAATAATTCTTAAATTATCTCACCTGGATTTCCAGGTCAATTTTTTTTAAACAATAAGAAATTTTATACTTTCTAATTTTTTTGTTCTTTTAATTGTTTTATTGTACCTTGATGTCTCATAGAGTCATTAGCTTCCTTATGCCCAATTCTAATTTTTTTTTCCTGGAAACTTTTTTCTTTTTTTTTTTTCTTGCATCACTCTCATTTCTCTTCCCAGTTTTTCCTCTACTTCTCTTACTTGCTTCTCAAAATACCTTTTGAGCTCTTCCAAGGCCTGGGACTGATTCATATTTTTCTTGGAGGCTTTGGATATAGGAGCTTTGACTTTGTTGCCTTCTTCTGGTTGTATGTTTTTTTTTTCTTTTGTTTTTTGGTTTTTTTTTTTTTGGTAAGGCAATTGGGGTTAAGTGACTTGCCCAGGGTCACACAGCTAGTAAGTGTTACATGTCTGAGGCTGGATTTGAACTTGTGTCCTCCTGACTCCAGGGCCAGTGCTTTTTCCACTACACCCTCTAGCTGCCCAGGTTGTATGTTTTGATCTTCTTTGTCACCATAGTAAGATAATATAGTCTGACTCTTGTTGTGCTGCTTACTCATGATCCTGGCCAATTACTTGAGTTTTAAACTCTTGTTCAGGTAAAAGTCTCTTTCCAATGTGGAGAATGTACTGTCCCAAGCTTCAGGGGTTTGTACAGCTGTTTTCAGAGATACTTCTAGGGACCTGTAAATTTTCAGTTCTTCCAAGGTGCTATGATAAGGGGTGAGGTGTTTCCTCTCCACCTCCATAACAACCTCCACCACGTCAGCACTCCTCCTTGCCCTAGGACCGCCCCTCAGAACTGTGACCCAGATCCACACACAGGCAAAGCAAGAGATTCCCGCCTCAGCACTGGTAAAGAGATCCCCGCAATCCCTATCTGATCAGCCACTCGATCCCCCCTCAGTCTGTGGGCTGGAAGCTCAGGACTTGTGACTGAAACCTAGCTTCTCTCTCTTGCGGCAGTCACAGACTTTTCCCACTGACCTTCTAAGTTGTCTTTAGCATTCCTGGGTTGAGAAGTCTGGAAACCACCACAGCTGTCCACAATTTAGTCCTCTGAGGTCTGCTCCATGGTCGCTGCAGCCTGTGTGCCCAAGCCGCACTGCACTCCTCTCCCTGCCTGGCGCGATATACCTTTCTGATCAACCATCCAGGCTGTCTTTGGTTGGAAATTTGTTTCACTCTATCTTTTTGTGGGTTCTGTTCTTTAGAATTTGTTTGGAGCCATTTTTTATAGATATTTGGAGGGGTTTGGGGGAGAGCTCAAGCAAGTTGCTGCTTTCCCTCTGCCATCTTGGCTCAGTCTCCTCAATTCTAATTTTTAAGGAATTATTTTCTTCTGTGAGCTTTTGTACCTTTTTCCCCCCAATTTGGCCAATTCTATTTTTTAAAGGAGTTATTCTCTTTAGTGAATTTTTGTAGATGTTTTTCCATTTTTTTTTTACCAAGCTATTGACCCTTTTTTCATGATTCTCTTGCATTACTCATTTCTTTTCCTCATTTTTCTTATACTTCTCTAAGCTGCTTTGAAAGATCCATTTTAAATTTTCTAAAAATAAATGCTAAAAATGTCTTGACATATAATTGGGAAAAAATAAAATGCTATTAAAATTATCTTTAGGGGAAAACATAAATAAAAGTATTTTTAAAGTTCTTCCATGTGTTCATTTTTGGGCCTGAGACCAGTTTAAATTTTTCTTTGAGCCTTCACATGTAAACATTTTGAGGCTGATCTCATCAAAGTTTGTGCCTTGATCTTCCCTGACACCATAATAACTTTATATATTCAATTTCTTTTTTTTTGCTCATTTTTCTGCGTATTTTTCTGCATATTTTTATGACTTTATACTTTTATGTGAGTGTTGGGCTTTGTTATTGTACTGTCCTATACAGTGCTGAGGCTCTGGAGCCTGATTGCTGACTTTCTCTGGGCCTCAGGGCCTAGCTCCTGACTTACATTGAACAGGGGGTGGGCTCACTGTTGGCTATCTGCAGGCAGGTCTTGCTGCTGGGTGGCTTCAGAGGGGGGGTATCACTACTGATTAGCAGTGAGGGTAGGGCCTAACTGGTGACCTGCACTGAGGACAGGACCCTTCCTATCTTGCTGGTCTGGGACTCTTGGCATGTCCTTGGGTGGGGCCTACCTGGTGGATTGCTCTGGGACTCAGCAAGGCCTTGGGGGAATTGTTGGGGGCAGGGGAACTGGTGTTTGAAGCCCTTTGGATATGAAGTCTATGGGCCCTCAAACCAAAGTTACTTCAAGAAACCCTCTCCATTTTACCCTACAAATACATCCTGCTTTATGTCTAGTAGATCTTTACGGAATAACATTTTCCGGGGGCAGTTAGGTGGCACAGTGGATAGAGTACAGGCCTTGGAGTCAGGAGGACTTGAGTTCAGATCTGGCCTTAGATGTATAACACTAGGTGTGTGACTCTGGGCAAGTAAGTTAACCCCAATTGCCTCACAAAAAAAAATAAATAAATAAATAAAAAGAATTCAGAATGATATTTTCCCTCAGCTGCCATTGAGGTGTGAGTGATGTTGAAGTTTACTATTTATTCCCCTAGACACATCCCCATCAGAGTCTCCACTTATGCAACTGATTTCCCTCCAGAAGGCAGATGGTTCTTGGGAACTGGATGAAGCTCTGGCCTCAGTCCTGGGAATGAGTGTTCAGAGTGCATTGGCTGCATTGCCTGGTCAGGTAAGGTCCCAGAGAGAGGAAGGCATAGGGTGGGGTATGTATTTGGGGGAAGAGCAAGAGAGAGAGAGTAAGGGAGAGCAATCCACCTTTGGACAAAATGATGGGAGCCATTGCTCATTAGGCATGGTCTGTGACTGAGAGAGGTTGATGGAAATACTTTCTAGCCCTTAAAGCTAGATAGTTCTTCATGTATCAGTGCTCAGTAAACATTTATTCATTGAGGAGAACAATAAGGGCAGGGAACTGGAAGAAATAGTTAATGAATCTGGGATCAGTTCTTTCTATGGTCCTGGAAGGGCTAGAAACCATCCCATGGTTTGTCTGCCCCTTTCTGGGGTACCCTGACCCTGGTGCCTTGGGTTCTGTATATTCTCTAGAGTAAAGATGTCCCAAGGTGGGCCACTATCTTAGCTGTGCTGTGGATGCACAGTTCCAGTTGTGACCAGAGAGAAGAATGGGAACTCCTGGAAAGAAAGGCTGTGGCATGGATCCAGGCTCGATCTGGTAAGGATACTGCCTTGAGGACCTTTTTCCATATACATCAGGAGACTTGCTATTCCCTCAGGATACAGCTTTATTAACCTGACTAGGATGAAAGATGGAGAGATTGATGGCCTGATCCTTTCTGTTCCACTTCTTTTGGTCTTTCAGCCCAGAGGAAGGACTCATAGATAGTGAGGAACATAGAGGAGACACAAGAAGAAGGTTGGAAAAGCCTATGGGAAAGGCTGGTGGGGTATCAAGAACTCTCAACAGAGTGGTCTTGTCTCTCTTTGCATTCCTTCTGCCAGGCTGCTAGCATCACTCCTACCACAGATGCCCTCAGGGTTAGACTGAGACTGATCTAGCAGCTATTTACTCCTCTGGTTTCAAGAATATTGTACCTTATACGTGTTTGTGGGGTCAGGAAAAGTGAAAAGGGAATTTAAGGGATGAGAAAAGAGAAAGAGCATGACTCTTGGTGGGGATATAGCAGTGCCTTCTGTTAAACATAATAAATGCTTAATGAATGTTTGCTAGAGCTATAAATGGTTAGGGGAGGGCAGAATAGGAGTAGGGATAGCTAGGTAGTACAGTGAACAAAGGGCTGGCCCTGGAGTCAGGAGGAACTGAGTTCAAATCCAGTCTTGCTCACTGTGTAACCTTCAGCAAGTCACTTAGCTCTGTTTGACTCAGTTCCTCATCTGTAAAATAATCTGGAGAAGGAAATGGCAATTTCTAATACTTTGGAATGTCTTTGCCAACAAAACCCCAAATGGACAAAGAGTTGGACACTACTGAAATATTATAACAACAAGAAGAAGGGGAAAAAGAACGAATAAAGGAAGGAGGGATGAAAGGGAATAGGATGCAAGCTGGTGAAGTGAATCTGCTTCTTTCCTTTTCCTGGCATTTGTCTAGCTATCCATCTTCTTGTGTTTACAGATCCCTCCCTGGGTGAATGCATCAAAGCTGCCAATGCTCTCCTGAAATCATCTGTAGATCCTGTTGTCTTTGGCCTGTGAGAGTAGAAATGGAAGCGTTTATCTCTGGCTGCTGCTCCTTACCCTCTATGCTGCTGTACCTTCCTTCCTGGTTATGCTCATTTCCCATAGGGACTGGTCAGTCAGATTCCATTTGGTTCAATTAAAGTATTAATTAAGGGCTCTACTGTGTGTTGGGTATATGCCAGGAGCTAATGCTACAAAAAGGATAGTCTTCTCACAAGCAGCTTGCATTCTGCTGGGGAAAGCAGCAAGTACACAAATTAATAAATTCCAAAATATGCACAAAATAAATAAAAATAATTTTTTTTGTGGGGAAGTGAGAAATAAGAGGAAGAATCAAGAAAGAACTCTTCCTTTCAATCCCACAAACACTTTTATGCTATATCATTCTTTGTGGTTACCAGAATCTCTGTCACTGCATAAAATCTACGAAGTGCAGGGCTGGGGAAGGCAGATATTACTCTGGCTTTTCCCCTTCCCCCCTTTAGACTATCTCAAGGCATATTAAAGAATGAATGGTTTCCTCTGTTTTAAAAATGAGTAAACAGAGGGAGGGAGGTGCCTAGTTTGAAGTATCTTTTAGTCTATATGCAGGTAGGGATTTCACTTCTGAGGAGAGTTAAAATTTAGATAATGGTAGGACATGCATCTTCCATGACATATGTATTGTATAACAGAACTAGATTTATTATTGTTAGGTGACTTAAAAAAAATTCTTGTAACACTTTATCTTGCACACTACCTGGACAAAGCTGGTGAGCAGGTAAGGACCCCAACAAAGAAAGGGATTCCCACTCGAGGTGGAAGGCATGCATGAGGTTTAACCTAACTCTATGCCTGGAGGATGGGCTTGGGAAGAGATACCTAAACTGCACTGGACCATTCTGATTCTGTCTGTGTGGCCTTTATATTCTCCAGTTCTATAAGCATGATGAGCTCCTCATGCCACCTATGGCAGTTGTTGGAGACATAGAGACTAATCTTTGGTCATGGAGGTGGAATTCTATGAATATGGGCTGTGGGCCTTGGCTTTTAGGCCCTGTTTTCTCCTCAACAACAATAGTAGTAGAGAGACGTGGGTTCGAAATCAACATCTCCCTGTCTCTGAGATGAAGGAAAGGCCTTCTCTGCATGTTACAATCTTGTATCCTCACTTGCTTTGTCATGTGTACTTAAACTTTTCAGAAACATGTTATTTCCTGGAAATATTCAACTATCAAGAATAAAATGAATTGCCTATTAGTACTCTGTTTTATCTGGTATTTTCTTTTGCCTACTCACAGTATCTTGGTCTTTGTACTCCTAAGCTGCTGTCCTGATTGCCTGCTTTTCTCAGTGGACAAACAGCACCCCTTCTGCTCTTTTTCTCCATATGTATCCAACTGTTCCATTTCTTAAGTGGGACTCCATAATTCAGCCTCTAGCCCCAGTTTCCTTGGGTTAAGGATATCCATGGCAGGACTTCCCAGGAATGTCTCAATAAACCTGCAATTCATGGCATTGGTGGAGGAGAAAGCAATGGAATGATTTAAAATCCTAAAAAATCTGCCTAGTTATCTGGTATTGGGAGAACATTCTCAGTATCTTTAGTGGAAGATACACAATCCTGACTCCAGCTATTTTCACCTTCCTCTAACTTATCAATTTATTAGGGAGCGATGCAGAGTTGGGTCCCTAAGCAATTAGATCCAAGACCTACCTCTTGCCCAAGGACCTCAATGCTCAGGGACTGAGGGATTTTATAAACCCTTAGGAAGTCCCTGGGAGGGGAGTGGAGACTCCTAATATAATAACAGGCTAATCTTCAGAAGTGTGTGTGTATGTAGGTGGGATTTCTTATAACTGGCTAAGGACAATGTCCAAGCTAACGACAACCACTTTTGTCAGCAGGCCTTTTACAGCTAGGTCATCAGCTACAGCTCTTCTCAGCAGTGGCTTTCCACAGGCCATCAAACATTCGTGATTGGCCAAAAGTATCCTAGGGGACCAAACAAGTTGTGGTTTTAAAGCCAAGGTCACTTAGGAGTGGCAGTAGTGATTTCTAGAGGTGAGGGGATATTGCAAATGCAAGCCCTTAACACGAGTTAATATATGTTCTTAGAACAGGCCTAGCTAATATAGCATGGAACACTCTTATAAATCAAATGCAATTAATGTGATCAATACGTGCTTAATTAACCATAACTCATTTTAAAAGCATTAACTAACATAACTAAAACTTCATCGCATTCTGTTTAATTCACTAACATTCAGAGATACCCATTAAATCACAATGAACTGAATAAATACTGATTACATCCAGTAGGGATATCAAAATTGTCCTTTAAGAACTGTCCTAAGACTCAGTAATATGAAACAGACTTAAAACCTTAACTTTAAGCAAGTAGTTTCCTCAACAATCTTAAGAGTTGGGGATCAGCTAACTGTCAAATAATATTAATATAGGAACTATGAGCAAGTCAGAGTGCTATGGGTAGGAAGGGAATGAGCAAGTATAAAACAGAATGTTGCCCCCTGGGACACTTGAAGTTTTATTTGGGAAATAAGACCTCTATTCAAGAGGTGGAGAAAAAACTCTGCCCGTAGGGTCAGGAAACAAGAGTTTTAGTCTTCTCCTGTCCTGTGATTTTGAGATTACTTCATATATTAAAAAAAAAACAAACCAAAAAACCCAAAGTGCTAGGTTTGAGATTGAGGGGAAGAAAGGCTGGGAAGAGAAGTAGAAACAGGTGATTCTAAATACCATTATAGAAACATATTTCAGTTCTATATTCTATATTCTGATCTATTAATGGGGAAAGGAGAAGAAAAAGTGCTAACATTTATTAAGTACCTTCTATGTTTCAGGCACTGTCAAACACTTGGATGGCCATGGTTGGATGAGAAGGGCTCAAAAGAGGCCACAGGAACAGCTGAAAGGAGAAGTAGTTCGAGTAGAAGATATGAAGGGCACGCTTCATGGCTGAAGCTAACACTCCATCTAAATGGGGTCAGCCCAGATGTTCTGATAAAACTTTCTCTCTGATTGTAAACTTCTGGCCTTGAAGTGCAATTTGATTCAATCTAACCAAAATTTATTAGGGTCTTGGTATTATGGACTCCATTTTTCTTGAGGAAAGGAATCATTGTCACTCTTGTTTCTGAAGTATCTGTGTTGGACAGTAGGGCTACATCATCTGGCCAGAGTTGAAGCTCATGCTCCCTTTTTGGGGAATTAGGCTGATTTAGGAGGGCATAATTTTCCTCCTTCTTTAGAGTTTTCATATTTAGTTTCCTATTTCTCCTTAGGAATCCATCTGAACAAGAATCAGTTTTTTTGTCAGAGAAGTGAAGGGAAAAAGAGCAAAATGGAAAGGAAAAGGAGAAAAGGAGGCTATTGATAGTAGATTCTGAAGTGAGTGTGTAAACTCCTTGTAAGTAATTTGGCTGCTATTAGAATAATGTACCACCTGTTATCTCTGTCCTTTAGAAGACTTAATTATCATACTACCCTCACTCCAAGTTTAAAACAGTCCTTTATCACATGGGGAAACAACTTGAATGACTTTTTCTAATTTCAAAAACTTTTTTTTTTTTTTGGCAAGGCAATCAGGGTTAAATGACTTGCCTAGGGTTACATAGCTAGTAAGTGTCATGTGTTTGAGGCTGAATTTGAACTCAGGTCCTCCTGACTGCAGGGCTGGTGCTCTATTCACTGGGCCATTTAACTGCCTCCCAAAAAAACTTTTTTATTTTTTAAATTAAGATGTGTTTGCCCAGGGATTTATGAAGGCTCTGCTCATGTTGAAAGATTTTAGAAGTTAACTTTTTGGTTAAATTACTACTTTTGTGTCTAAGTTCCTTTTACATTCAAAAGCCAAAACAATTGTCCCTTATGTTTTTTGAGAAAACAAAGTTATCTTCCTCTACAAGTTTTGAGGTTTGCATTTTAGACATACCTTTGTTTATTTAATCATTCTGAGGTTTGAACTATTGGTCTATACCTTGTTTCTACCAAACTGCTTCTTAGTTTTCCCAGTAATTTTTGTCAGATAGTGAGTTCTTGTCACCAAATCTTGGATCTTTGAGTTTGTCAAACACTACAATCCCACATTTATTTACTAATGTGTATTGTGTACCTAATGTATTCCACTGATCCACCACTCCACTTCTTAGCCAGTACCAGATTGTTTTAATGATTATTGCTTTATAATATAGTTTGAAATCTGGTACTACTAAGCCACTTTCCTTCACATTTCTTTTCATTGATTTCCTTGATTTTCTTGATCTTTTGTTCTTTCAGATTAATTTTGTTATTATTTTCTAGTTCTATAATTTTTTGGAGGGGAGTATTTTGATATGGCACTGAATAAGTTGATTCACTTAGGTGAATTATTTTTATTATATTGGCTCAGCCTACCCATGAGCAATTAATATTTTTCCAATTGTTTAGCTCTGACTTTATTTGTGTGAAAAATATTTTGTAATTGTATTCATATAGTTCTTGGATTTTGTTTTGGTAGATAGCATCTCAACTATTTTAAATTGTTTGCAGTTATTTTAAGTGGAATTCTAATGACTTGTCTACAGTTTTACAGTTAGAAAGTATGAGATCTGATCCAAACTCTCTGTCATCTTTCCTGCTTAGCATCTCCTATGTTCTTTTGCTCTTATACCTATTGCTAACTACTTGAACTATTTCATCAGACCCTGTGCTCTATTTTGAGGTTTTTGTGGAAATGGTTTTAAGCAAGCTATTTCTTCATGTCTTATGGCTCTTAACAAGTTTGGGGTGGCTTTCAGATATGTATGTGAGATTTGAAATTTTGCTAAATGAATATTGCTTATCCAGAATTTTAGAGATTGATCAAAGAAAACACTGGGTTTTCTTTCTATTCTTTGAGAATATGTTTTATGCCTTAGTTAATTTGTAATGTGTATATTTAATGGTTCATCCAGAAGGGATGCCAAATCCAGGTCAGGGCTACTTGATAGCAACTGAATCAAAGACAAGCAAAGTAGAATATAGAAAGTGGTAATTCAATACCTTCAGCAAGGAGAAGAAGCAAATCCCTGGGATTCTAGGTTACTGAATCAGTAGCCTAGTAGAAAATCAGGCTACTTCTGCTTGGTAAAGGGAAACATGAATGAATAAAATAAACCATCCAGACAGGAGGGGCATTCACATTTTGAATGGGAATTAAGTAAAACTGATGTTTAGTTGGCTGTATGGATTTACCAAGCTACTTCTGCCTGTAAACTCTTGACTGAGAAGCCCCTTGACCCTTCTTCCATAGAGAACTCTAGAACCATCGATGAGCTCCAACTCCTCTCCTCCCTTCTCCCCCAACTTTATCTCTGCCTACAAAAAGAAGGCATTTTACTGTTAAGTTTCTATGTTTTTTAAGTCTTCTGTAATCTCTGATTTAATTTGTATTTTTGAAATCATTTTGCCTTGACACAAAATCTATGAACTGCTTTGTGCTGCATGTCTGTATGTTAATATCAGAGAAGTCAAACTAATCACACAGACTTCAACCTAGTCAGAGATCTAACTTTTCTGTCTAAAACATTGAAGTGATGATGGAGGATTCTATGAACTATGTATGAGAAGATCTTAAGCTGGTGATTTTTTTTATTAATAAAACATGTCTAAAAGCTTCTAAAATATCAGACGAAACCCACAATACTTGAGGCCAATCACCACTAGTCTAAGGCCAAGCAATTAAGTATTTTTTTTATCCTGAATTAGATTACTTTAACTATAGGTACCTTAGTCAAATTTTCTGGCCAAATAAGTGGTAGGTAAGGGTGAGAACTAAGGGAAAATCATGTCCAGAATCACTCAGTGGGAACAGAAAAGTGTGGGAAGAATCTGTGTTTCTTCTATTTGGAGGACGGAATAAGAAAGAATGAGTTTTTTTTTCTACCTTTGGTTTCACTTTTCACCCTAACCTATCAAACCTTACTCCACAAAGATATTTGCTCTTTATAGCTATGTGTTATCCCTTCAAATTATTAAAGCAAACAAACAAAAAACAAAACTGCTCATTTATTCTTAGTCCTCTCTACTCCAGACTATGTCTCCACTTCCTTCAATTGTTCCTAATATGACATGGATTCCAGTCTCATCATTTTTTGCTCACCTTCCCCTGGAAACATTTTAGTTTCTTAAATTCCCCTTAAAATGTAGCACCCAGAATGACATCTAGATGCTTAATACAGATTTATTGACTAATATCAGTTTAATAATTTCCTTGAATTGA